TCCATGACGATGGTCATTGACAACCAAAGTCGACACTACGGCGGCATATCATACGATCATATGTATCCCAACATGCATGCAACGCCAACATTCAGCGATCCGTGGTCTCATCAGACGAGCACTTCCAGTTCTTCGTTCCCACCGCTATCCAAGACGGACGGTGCGAGATCTGGCATCTCAATGCCTTACTCTCACATGCCTCCAGTGACTGGCTCAATGGCTCAAGGTAGCGCCTACTCCAGCACTGGATTTTCTGGCACGGATTTGCTAAGTTACCCTCAAGAAATGCCGCGCCCCAACTATGGCGAACAGGCGGCCTATTCTTCGCCAACAGCAACCTCAGCGTCGTACGCGCCGTCGTACTCTTCGCTCAGCTACGCCCAGTCCATGCACCAACAGCAGCAGCAGCAACAACAACAGCAACACAGGAAACTCTCCGACACGTAAGTTGGCGCTTGTGAGTTTTCGAATTTTTGGGTATCGTTCTAACAGTAAGAAACCAGGGTCGAGAGTTCTCGTGCCGCAAACGCCAGTTTTGGCGAACTTGACGCCTCTCGAGGCATGCTGGCACTCAGCCACCAAAATCTGCAGGATCTGACCCCCCGCAACATCTACGAGGCCCGAGCCCAGAGAGCGTCAGCAGACTCGTACGGTTTTCCACAAGCCTCTTCAACCCATTCCTCCATTTCAAACGAATCTGGTCGAGGGTACGCGTACTACGCCCCCAGTTCGGTGGGCTCTGTGACGGATTCTGCCACAGACTATAGCTCGGCAGCATCAGACGCTGGCTATGAGTCAATGGCAGCTTCTCGGACACTGCCTCGTCCAAACCAACTGTTGGGTCCTCCCCTTGGACCTCCCGCCCCTCAGTCAATGATGGGCCAATTCTCCTCCAAGATGGCTGCCAATACACAAAAGAAACATAAATGCAAAGTATGCGACAAACGCTTCACACGGCCCAGCTCGTTGCAAACACACATGTACAGCCACACAGGCGAAAAGCCCTTTGCCTGCGATGTGGAGGGCTGCGGGCGTCACTTCTCCGTTGTCTCCAACTTGCGCCGACACAAGAAAGTCCACAAGGGCGACTCCATTTCGAATGCAAGCCATTCGGACATCGAGGAGTAAGAGGAGTGCCCCTGGCCTGGTTACATTTTGAGACCAAAAGAGCCAAATCTAAAAGCACCACCGTCGGCACCGCCATGCCGATGATGATCTTGGCATGCCTGGCCATGTCATTGTTTGCTTTTCCCTTGCTCCATGTACATTATGATCGAGCCTTGCGCGATGGAGCCGCGCGACGCCAGTGTACAACAACCAAAAGAGACGGGTGATAGAAGGGACGGAATTTCAAAAGCCAGGTGCGGACAACCACGTGGCAAACTGGCATCAAAACCATGCCATGACTTTTTCGATTCACGACCTTCGTTTACCGCAAAACTTACACCGTTTATTATGATGACCTGATACCCAGAGATGATGGCTTCTTGCATGAAAGATTCTTTGTTTTCGTCTACAAGCGCGCCTCGAGGTTCCAAGGCCAATGTGAGGGTTTTATGGTTTATTTCTATTTACCGGAAACAGAAAGCCTTTCTTAGTGAGAGTGGACAAAACATTTTTTCTGTGCGGCGGCTGATCTCCCGAGATGAGAGGGGAGAAGCTCAAGTGATTCCGCTTTGAGGGCGCAGAGGTGAGAATCTGGGGGTTGTTGAGAACAGTCCTCCCGGGGGGGGGGGGGGGGGG